CGGTTTACCAAAGCTCCCCCTAGGGTTTCCCAAATAAGTCGGCCTGTACCTGCAAATAAAGAGAAATTGAAGACAGAGGCCTCCTGCATCATGTATGTTTCAAGTGCCTGATTCAAGCCAAACACTGTCATGGGCACCAGCTTGCGCTAATGAATCAATAGGGCTTGCATTCTGGGTATTCAGAGGAAAACGTAGAGATTGAACAGTTTAACAAGAGAAGTACATATTAAGAAAAGTCTATGATAAGGGAAAAAAAACCCAGAAAACCTATTGTGATAAAGAATGACAGGATGGGGCAGGGGGTGGGGTGCTGGGAGAGGTCAGGAGACCGTGCTGACGTTTGGACAAGATGCCCAGACCCGGAAGTCATCTATACCGAGGCACGAGGTTGGTTTGGGCTAGGATCAGCGGGGGAGAATCTACAGAGTGAAAGATTCCAAGACCAAACCCTGAGACACTTCAAAGAGTGCTTGAGAAGACTAAGAACATGAGGAGGAGAACAGAACAAGAGCTGCTGGGAGATCAAGTGAGATGAAACAACACACACTGAACAGGCCAAGGTGAAGGTCACCGCTAACCCTGAGACGAGCCAACTCAACGCAACAGTGAGATGGGAGTGGAGGAGAAAGTGAGAGATCAAGTGGTGGATGTAGTCCTAGTTCCACCATGATACACTTTTAAAAGCACCATCGTAATGTAAATCAATTCGAGCTGGTCTCACTTTTCCAGAGTTTTCATAGCTAATTTTATAGTCACAATATGCCCCAAAAGTGGTCGGAACTGATAACAGCTCTGTTTTTCAAACAAGAAAACCGAGGCACAGTGGGAATAAATCGCCTAAGAGCTAACTCTGGTCATGAGCGGCAGTATTTTGACTTTTTTTTTTAACCCCCATGAGATAATGTGTTCATCAGTTATCTTATTCTTCTTCAGAATCACACTTTAAACCGGAGAAGCTATATACTCAAGCTAAAGGTCCATTAACACTAATATCTTTCTAACCTACAACACGGCTGCCTCAGCTATACAACGAAGCAGCAGAGAGGCTGAAAGCAACAGGAAGTCTATGATTAATGGAGACACATACACAAGTTAGATTTCCACCTGTTATCTCGCCCCCTTTGAAAGAGCATCCCCCGTCCTCAGCCCAATTGCCAACAGCAGACTATCTAATGAACCATCTGTACCGTAACAGTTAGAGCCAGCCGAGATGGGTTGATGATACCAAAGAAATCTCATTTTATTTCTCATTCTTTTTCTCCCCTTGTGTGTTGTTAGGTTGAGTAACGTTTTTAATTGCATGATAAATTGAAAATGTTGGCAGGAACTTAACTTTTCGCAAAATTGGAGTTTTTTTAACATTACTTTGATGGCCTTTTCTGGTGGATTTCCTTATTGCTTTCACTGCAACAGAAGGAAAAGCTGACCCTATGAACCACCCCACTGGGAAGCAAAGTGTGCAGCTAAGTGGTGTTAAGAGAATATCTTGCGCCAGTCTCTTAGGATTTGACTCAAGCACTCAATTATAGCTTTTCGAGGATAAGCTAAAATGCAGATCTCACTGCAGTCCTTGGACCAGTCAGAATAATAGACTAACTGAAAAAGGATGGTCATTTTTAATGGAATAGAGTTGTGATTTTTTTTCCCCACTCAAATATTAAAAGCATTCATCAGAGAAACTTTCGTTCCTAAAACACCATCAGACTTTTACAAAAACTGGTCAGCTGATTTAGTCTCTCATCAAGCATGTGATGTGTCGGCTCAACTCAGCTAAATTATTTTTTAACGATATTTATGAGCATGACATGTTTACTCACTGCTTTCTCCCCTTGTAACCAGAGATAAATCTTCCTATTTTGTTGAACGCTGGTAAGTACAATAGACTACTGCTTGAAAGTTCCGTATTTCAATGAGCTTTTTGAAGGAAAGTTCCTAGTTAGATTACAGTGATTCTTCAATTAACCATCTCCCAGAATGAAATGCCTCTGTAACTTAGTTTGATTTTAAAACGTTTTTCAATTACACATAGCAGTGCTGTTCAAGACCAGACTCAAAGGCAACGTGTTTATTTATAAAGCTATGTATAACTCCAGAGAACAAAAATATATCTACACATTGCCTCTACTTCTTAAATTTAAAGGCCAGGGGAAACCTATGAGGCTGATAATAGCTGCTGGTAGCCCCATATCTCCTGGGTCCCTTCCTATCTGTCTATGGTAAGCTCTCTTTCGTGCTTTAGACCTCAGCTTCCCTACTTCACTGTCACGGAGTCAGTCAGTATCTATTGAACATTTATTAAACCAGGCACTGTGCTGAGCACAAGACGCAAAATATACTTCCCTCATGGAGCCTATAGTTTTGTGACAAACTTAAGTGAGCATTAAACCACAACATAGTGTGGAAAGTACTCAGAAAGGGAACACTCAAGGTGTAAGCACACAGTGGGGGTCCACAATGATGATAGAAGATAGATAGATAGATGGATGGATGGATGGATGGATGGATGGATGGATGGATAGATAGATAGATAGATAGATAATGAATGACACTGAATGTACGTGGTAGGTTGAGGAGACAAACAACAAATAGGGAGAGCCCATCAGAATAAGTGACAAATACATTTAGGTTGGAAAGCTGATGAGGGTTTAGCCAGGCCAAGAAACAAACAGAAAGTATATGAAAACTTTGAGGAGTCAGCAGCAGTAATAACAATATTTGAGAAGAAGAAAGGCAATGAATTTACCACACGTCAGGCACCTTTCTAAACAGTATTCATAGCTTAACTCACCTAACTTTAGCAACAACCTCATGGGATAGGTACTGTTATTTTTATCCCCATTTAGAGATAAAGAAACAGAGGCACAGAGGTTATGAAGCCAGTAAATTGGGAGCTAGATTTTAAATGTAGGCAATTGGGGCCGAGAGCCCCCTACTCTTCGCTATGCTGTCTCTCAAGAGACCATAGACAGCCAGAGGTGGGTGGCCACCGAAAATCATTCCCCGTGGCTAGAGCACACAGTGCTTACTATCTTACTATCTAACAAAAAACGAGAAAGAATCTAGGATCAGTCCTTTATCCTTGTTGACTAATCATGCTTGAATCTGAGTGAGTGGCAGGTGGCGGCGCTTACGTGATCTCCATTGATTACGAGGTCTGCCTTTCCATCTCTAAGGGTCAAATGAAGAAAGAGTATAGAATGTTAATAATAGGGAAGGTTGTGTGGGGGGGTGTGGAGGAAGGACACAGGAACTCTCTGCACTTTCCACTCAATTTTGCTGTGAACCTAAAACTAGTCTAAATAATTAAGTTTATTCATTAATAAAAACCAAAATTATCAGGTTTCAAGCTAGGGGGAAAAAAAAAAGCCTTTTTTATCCCCATTAAAAGAATTTCAAATACCAGAAGCCAGGTAGAGGGAAAAACAAAGATAAATTTAAACTACTCCTTAAACCAGCTCTGAAATTAAAATTAGGACACTGTGAGTATGCAAGATATCTAGCCCTGGATAATCTGTTACGCCCTGGATAATCTGTTATGCCCTATGCCCCCTAAGTGGCAGTTCAAGTGCGATGGGTCCTACAAGCATGTGTTATTCTGTGACTGGCCTCTCCTGACAAGCTCTGCAGTCTTCCTCCAGGGAGGAAGCTGTCTGCGAGAGCCGGGGTCCCCCTCCCCCTTCACTCCCTGTCTAGCCATAGAGTGGGTCACGCCTTCATTTGCTCCAACTCTCTGTCCTCCCATATTTCCAGACTCCAAGATGCACACCTGATGTTTTCCAGAAAGTACAGCAGCACTTTAATATTAATGAAACGTTGGTAGGCTAACACACACACACGCGCGCACACACACACACACACATATATGAGTGTGGAATGACTGTTGTGATAAAACAATGAGAGGGCATAGCAAGGTCTTTAGAGAAAAACTGTAGGTATTTAGATTAATAATGAAGGTGAGCATAGGAATGACTTAGGCAACAGTCTTTAAACCCAGAAAGGCTGGCTGGTGACCTCATGACATTTTGATGAAGAACTATGAGGAGTCTTAAAGACTGAATATTTATTTGGATAGGCCAGTCACTGCAAAATATCCCAAGTGCCTACAATGCCGAAAACACAGTGCACGTGTTCTTACCCACCGCTCACGAATACCGTTCTGAATAATCAAATAATTGCTCTCTTCTCTGGGTTCCTCTAGCAATTAGGTGCACGCTAATATTTGGTTGCCAGCGTGTACTTTCTGCTATGGTTACTGACATCCACGCCTTACTCTCGTCACTGGCTCCTAAGTGTTTATCTCGGATTCTTTGCACTTGACACCCACCCCTTCCGAGGCCTCCTGCCCTTAGCGAACTCTAACCCATCTTTCTCGATTGCATTTTCCACGACGAGGTCCTTTGGTCACCGAAGGAAATGTTATTGGTCTGATTTTTGATTGAATTAAAGTTACTTCTCATGTATTTCTTTTAGTATTTTTTCTGCAGATCACAACTCTTTTGTAACCACACATGGGTATCAAATACCCTGTGTATCAGAGTTAGGTCGATTAGAACATACTGTTTAGAGGGATCCTGCCTCCCTTTCAATAAGGACAGAGGCCTCATTTGCCTTTTTCCAAATCTCGGCTACTCTTGACATAGTCCACAAAGCATTGAAAACAATAATTTCAAGTACCAGTGGCAGCCCCAGAAGGCTGGCATTCCCCTGGGGTGAGTGGACTCATGTCTGCCCGCTTTGAGCAAGAAGAGACCAAGCACATCTTTTGGCTCTGCGTTCCCACTTGAATGGTAGCCGGCCTACAAATCCCGTGGCCACAGTAATAGTTTTAGCTGCTTGGCAGCAGATACTGCGAAATGATAGGAGAAACAGATTATCGGGCCTTTACGTCTTTGCTATCTTAAAAGAATCCTGGGAAGGCAGACCGCAAATTCACACGCTACAGAAACATGTCAGGTCTTCCTCCAGAAAAGTAATTTTTCCATGGACGTTTCATCACCCACCTTGAAGTTCTCCACTCCGGCTGTACAGCTCCCTTCTCTGCTCTCGCAGGTAAGCACTCATGCTGATGGCGTGGGAGGACGACTCGAACCTGCAATGAAACAGGGTGCTTAGTGTTCGCCCAACGGGTGGTGCCTAGCTCGGCACCAGGACTCCACTCTGGTCCAGGTGACGCGCCCTCCTGGTCCACGGCCAGGACGCTCTGCCTCGCCCACTGCAGGGCCAGGGCAGGCTGCCAGAGACCCCAACTTATGGATGAGATTCCTGGCTCACGCGCCTCCCCAGCAGTATTTGGATCTTTCGCGAACTTTCCATGTCAACGGGTACAAGGCTGATCTGTCGAACTTTTTCTTTTGCCTCCATGTCCTTTGCCAGGCTCCCTACGCACACGCCAACAAAGCTATCTCATACAGCATTCTCATTGTGCTGCTAACCAGCTCAAGAGCCATCAGTGACTGCCAGCTGTCACTGCAGAAACCCTGGCTCCTCAGAGCAGACATCTTGCCTTTCTAACTCCCCCAGTTCGAGGACTAGTACAAAGGACATGGTAGAAATACTGTTGGTGAACTGCACCCAAGAAGCAAGGCATTTATGGTCTCTCCTTAAACGTGCTCAAAAACAGTACAGTTTCTGAAGGGCTGCCAGGTTTTGGACCTGCCACCTGCCACATAAGACGTTCTCGAATGTACTGAGCTACAGTTCACACCTCCCCAGGAACTGTGTCAGAGGTCAGAGCTCATAATATAGAACATGTCTCTAAAAACAGAGAAAAAACAAAAGAAAAAAATCTCATTCTTAAGAGGAACTTGTAGGTAAGGGAAAAAAAAAAGTTAAAATTATGACTATATCAAACAGTAAATCCTTTGATGTCCTGAGATCTTTAAAGTCAGAAAAACATGCCGACGGGAGAAATCCTTCTAAGAATTAATGCCACTCAGGGGTACACAGCAACGTGATGAAAGAGCAACTGTGACAATGGACTCGGTTTCTGGCAACAAGGAAGGCGCGCCGACGTTTTCTTATCACGCCTTCTTTCTCCATTCTTTGGCAGGGAGGGCGAGTCCGAAGGGGACTGTCAGTCTAAGGGGAACACGGGGCTACTTGATCCTCTCGTCTGCACCCTGCCGAGAACTAAGAGGCCACTCACAGCCAGGAGGATGGCCGAGTGTGCGGTCCTTGAAGTGCCACCTGCCTGTCAAGTACAGAACAGAAGCCACTGCCCTCCAAAAAGCATGCTGACAACTATCGATCAGAAATGACCAGGGGAAAAAAATTAACTTCGAGCAGAGAATAGAGAGGCGCACATTACACAATAAGAGAACTTAAACACACTTCATTAACCTTGGCTAGGGGCAGTTAAAGATTAGGGCTCACCAAAATCCTCATCCTTGATGACCTGATGTATTTGTGCTACTCAGGAATCCTTTCTATGTTTGGAACAATCACAGCTTGATATAATTTTACAGGAAGGGGCCACAGAGATGAGTCGCACCTCCTTTTCTAGACAAAGGCCCTGGAACCCCCTAAGACAGGAGACCAGTTCTGGCTCATGGGGCCGGTTAATGGCAAAACCAAGACTAAAAGAGGCAGGACTGTAATGAGGGCCTGATTCTGTGTGGGTGATGAGTCTTTACTAGAATGCAATAATAATAAATGTGTGGCAATTACCTAAGTTCACGTATTCATGTCCCACAATTCGTATGTTTTCCAATACCACAATGTCAGGATGGGGTCTGAAGCTGAAAGTTAGGGGTGATGGTTGAGAGCATGAAATCTAAAAATCCTGAAACCTGATTTCTACAATACACCGGGAGGGGAGGGGAGGCGAGAGGAGAGGAGAGGAGAGGAGAGGAGGGGAGGGGAGGGGAGGAGCAGCATCTGAGGCAGTCTTAGGGGCTCTTTCAGCCATCTTTTCCTTCCTCCGTTCTTGCTTGCTGGCACAGCTCGTGCTCTATCTGTGGGTTCTGCTTCCTCTCCCCCTTCACTCAGCAGTACTTTTCCTGTGCTCGGGAAAGGTGGCTCCCTCTGCAGCCATAACCTACCACCAGGGATGAACCCTGGCTGGTTTCAGACAATCCCACGGTCTGCCTCCTTTTGCCAGCGACTGGTGTAGGAAAGAGCTTCACACAGGGAAATTTGCTGAGGGGCTTTGTCACTGGCAAAATTAATAAATGGATAATAATTAGTTATTAATAAACAAGGGTCTGAAATGATATAGCCACTTGGGAACACAAAGTGCCTTACAAAGTTGGACACAGTCTTTACCATATGACCCAGGAATCATGCTCCTAGGTATTTATACAAATGAGCTGAAAACTTACATCTAAACAAAACCTGCGTATGGATGTTGACAGCAGCTTTATGGAGGCACCCAAGATGTCTTTCACTAGCTGAATGGAAAACAAACCATGGTACATCCACACAGTGGAATATTATTCAGCGGTACAAAGAGATGAGCCGTCAAGCCACAAAAAGGCATGAAGGAACCTTTAGTGCATGCTGCTGAGTGAAAGAAGCCAGTCTGAAAAGACGACACACTGTATGACTCCAACTGTAAGGCATTCTGGAAAAGGCAAACTGAAGAAATGACAAAAAGATCAGCCACTGTCAGGGGTTCAGGGGGGCCGGGAAAAGGAGGAGGAATGAGTGAGTGGGAAACAGGGCGTTTAGGGCAATGAAATTATTACGTACGAGACTGTAAATGGTGGGTACATGGCATTCTACATTTCTCAAAACCCACATACCTGTGCAACGCAGAGCGTGAGCCCTAGTGTAATAATGAACTCCAGCTAGTGATGACGTATGAATATCAGTTCGTCGTGTGTAACAAATGCACCACACTCGTGCGAGACATTAGTACCAGAGCAAGCTGCAGGAGCGGGAGCGTAAGGGAAGGCTCTGGACTACCTGCTCAGTTTCTCTGAAAACCTAAAACTACTCTGAAAAATCAGATCTACTGATGAAAATGAAAAAGGATTTGCAGGGCCGGCCGAGTGGCGTGATGGTTAAGAACTGGTTTGGGACACCAGAGGGCCCCGGTTTTGATCCCACATATAGGGGCCAGTGACACTGCCCTCTACAGCTAAGATGCTGAACGACAGCGCAACCTGGAGCTGGGCTGCCATGAATCGCCGGCAACGGCATAGGCTGCAGCCCCTGTGTCAGTGTGTTGCCATGGGCTACCGTGTGTAGCCAGCAGCCGCAGTGAGCGGCCGTCCAGAAGCTGGCGACTGATCTGCCTCGCCTGGGAAGAGCACAATGATGGTGCCAACTTGGGCCAATGAAGCAACGTCCTCCACAACTAGACTGAAGAACAAAAGGACAGCAACTTGTCTGTTCCCCTTCCCCCAATTCCCCTGCACTGTTCCCCTCCCCCCAATACCCCAATAAAAATCTTTAAAAAAAAAAGAAAGAAAGAAAAAGGATTTGCAGGAAGAACGGCAGCCGATTTCCTTGGCGTCGCCATTTGTGTCGGGTGGGAACCAAGGCAGAGACGTGGGAAGGGCTGGACCCTGGCTGATGCTGTACGAAGGCTGAAGGCCCCTCGACAGGCACCATGACTGCGGGAGATGCTAGTTTTCCTGGGCGTTCATCTGCCTGTGGTTCACCTGCGGGTCTACATTACTTGCAAACGAAAGCATTTTTACTGATGCTGCATCTAACCTCTGTATAAAACTGTAAAAAGGAAAAAAGGAATACATTCAATAAACAGAATGCATTTTATTCCTCTGTGGGCACAGTCAGTGTTTTCCTCTAGACCAGAAGATAAATGAACTGTGCAAACTTCCCTTAGGATTAAGGACTCTATGAATCCATGATAAAAAAAAAAAATCTCAAAAGTGAATCAATAAAAGATACTAGAGCCTCAAGCTATTTAAAAAAAACAAAACTGTGATGATACTTCTGTAGTCACTTTACATGCTTAGATTTACAGATACAACTTCTTAAATATCTATTAACTCCTCAAAAGAACACATCCATCTACCGAGATTTCGATCCTGCTTCTAACAGTTGCTAATTATGTGAACTTACATAAATTACTTAACTTCTCTTGTGCCTCAATTGTTTTCTTTTTTGACATGTGAAAGGGGACTAAAAATAGAACCCAGGACTTTATAGGACCTATAAGGTCCTAATGAGTAAATGAGATAATCCATGAAAATGGCTTAATGCCTCAGCTACCACTCAGTAAGGACTCAGTAAGCATTCACCAGTTCTCCAGTGGCTGCAATGCACTGTAATCTGAATTAAATTATGTTTAATTGAGATTATTTTGAGGAATTTATCTACCACAGTGCCTGTTACATAGTAAGCAATCAATGGGAACTGTTACTGTTATTATTATCAATGTTAATAATAATATTAACTGTTACTGTTACTATTATCAATGTTAATAATAATATTAACTGTTAGCTGTTACCAAGTAACGTATCCTTAGGATCCATGGCCTGGCAGGGTTAGCCAAGGTAGTAATTAGAAAAAAGAATTTCCATCCAGTAAATCAAATAAAACCCAATGCAATTTAGCTAGAGAGATCTGCATAACTTTATTAAAGGTTGCTTCTTGGCACTTGGGGTTTTTCAAAGGCAGAAATATTACATTTCCTTTCATTTCATATAAATTCCCCAGAAACAACTGGAGGGTTTCATTTCCCTTTATTATTATATATACAACTCCCCAGAAACAAATTCCTGCAATTTTTTTAAAAAGTTCTAGACAGTCCAATAACCATATTCCAATGTAGTCGCTTCCCCTAACAGAAAACAGAAGTACACAAAATTGACTTCCCATAAATTATTTCCAATCAACTTTAATGAGGTGAAGTAATGGCTGTCCATTAAGCAGAGAGTCACCCCACTTGGATCTAACACTTCTTGACACCTGCTATCATACCAACAGGGGAGATACTTACTTGAAAAGAGAATTTTTGGGTCTCTGAGGCTTCTTCTTGGCAAAAAAGGCTGCGAACTCCCGTCCAGTGCTGGCATAACTCAGCTGAGCGGATGGTTCAGAGGCTGTACGAGTGTTTTTCATATCCAAGTACTCCGTCAGCAGCATCTGTACAATCAGATACGCAGTTTAATACACACCTTTGTGATGTGCTATTAACAAAAGCAATTTTAAACCATAAAAAGCTAATTCAAAAACCTCATCCTTGACATCCATAAGTATATTTGCCTACCGTATTTCCCCAAAAATAAGACCGGGTCTCATATTAATTTTTGCTCCAATAATCTACATGTATTCAAACAGTCATGTCTGGCTGATGCGCTTAACTGGGGCTTATGTTTGGGGTGGGGTTTATATTACAAGCATCCTGAAAAATCATGCTAGGGCATATTTTCCAGTTAGGTCTTATTTTCGGGGAAACATGGTAGCTATTCATATTTCTAGTGGGAGGCCTGATGGAAGATTCATCATAGCCAGAAAGTCATCTATTTCCTGCCTGCTCCTCCAACCACGACCAGCGTGTGGTGGGCACTGAGTATGGGGGTAAAGGAAACATGTTTATTAGGGTCTAAAAGTGCCAGGCACTGGGCTGGGTTACTATTCTCCTTCAGCCATGATTTAATCCCCATTATTCCAAATCACAGCAGCAGCAGCAGCAATGGGGGAATATTTACTGAGGGCTTACTATGTTGCAGGCAAGAGGCTAATTCACCTAGATGCACTGCCTCCTTTAAAGCACAACATTTTATCATGCAGATCCTCAGATGACAGATAAGGGACCGAGGCTCAGGTGTAGGCTCTGGGCTTCAGGGTGACCCTAGTGGATTGACTCCGGAGCGCAGGCTCCCACCCTTCACCCTCACAGCACAGAGGACGGCACGCTAACATACCTGCTCACAGGTACCAGAGGCCATAGCAGGCAGGACGTCCAGACCTACAAATACTGTCTAGGACCACTACTCCAGAGCTTCACAGCAACAAAAGAAACAGCTTTATCGATAACCATTGCCAGTGGGTCCTGCTTATAAATAATCCACCTTAAAGCCTTAGTGGTGGGGGGTGGGCTAGAATCAGCTGTGCTACTATCTCTATGACCAGTGTTCTAAAAAGTCCCCACTAGCAGATCTGGAATAGAAATCATCATGGTTCCCAAGAATGTCTAACCTGCAACTAAGGTCTATCAACTCATTTCCATAATCACGCACCACATTTAAATTTTTAAGATACCCGTGTGGTATAGTGCATAGAGGCAAGTAATTCTACCCATGACTGAAGTAAAAGCTTTTCCGAGACACAAGGTCCCATGTAACTAACTATTCATTCCTGCTTGCATTTGTATATTCATTCATTCGTTCGTTCCTTCATTCATTCAATGCAAGTTTGAGGACCATATTAAGCATGATCATCAAAAAACATTTTAAAGCACCCTGTAAACATGTTGCCCCCAAGTAACCTTTAAAGCAATTATGTCTCTAACATGAGCACATACACACCACTGAGAATTTATCAAATAGCAGACATTTTAAAACCATAATCTTCCTCAATCCTGAAACCTATAAAGTAGGAGTCACTATCTACATTTTAGAGATGAAGAAACTGAGAATTAGTGGTATAAACCATCCGACATGCATGGGTGGTGGCAAGGGTTAACAGGACATCTCTGTATATTCCCCTCAATTTTGCTGTGAACCTTAAACGGCTCTAAAAAAAAAGTCTTAATTTTTTAAAAAAGAAACAATGAAACAAGCCTAAGGTCTTATAATTAGAGCAAAACAGCCCAGGACTGCAGCCCAGGTTTAGTTGACTGAGCCTGTGCCTTTCCCCACAACACTCTAGTGTCAACAAGAGCATAAAAATAGCCAATGAGAATGACTATAAGTGGCAGTAAATGGACTTTATGCCATTTTCTGTACAATAAAGATTTCGCTGGGAAATTATAAAACATATTAGCAGATTGGTTAATGTTTTTTTATTTATTTACGAGGCCACTGGAATATCATTCAACATGCTGATGAAGTACTATAACCACAAATGTTACCTCTGTTCATAGATCACCCAAACCGCCCAATAGTCAGGGAGAATATCCAATTGGGTCTTTACTTCAGTAACTCAACTGAGGGACTCGATGTGTAGATTTGAGACTGATGCTAATGAAGTGTGTAAGGAATCTGTGATCAAAAGATGTCTAGTAAACCAGAACGGAATACTAAATCCACATAACATAGAAAGATGTCTACAAATGCACTGGTTTTAACACCAATATGACAGAGAGCTATTTCTACCAAAGCATGAAGATACACACACTAAACCAAATAATTCTTGTGAGAGCTTTGTAAAATAAAATATTGACTGACCAAGGTCTACACAACACAGCATTCTTAAAACCTTGGTATTTTAAGAACACTGTTCTTTTTCTCATCAACGAAGTCCCCTCAGTTATAACCTCTCAGCATCGTCATTCTATTCTGCTCCACTGGTTTCTCCCTTTTTATCTGCAAACGTGCTATTTCTACATTTTCAATTAAAATCTCGCTTTGGTCCTCATACTCTATCTATAACCCTGTTTCCCTTTTGTCTTCAAGTTTCAAACTTTCAAAAGCAGCCTTTACATCTATTATTTCCTTTACCGTGATGGGATTAATTCCTGATTTCTCTCTCAAGCTCCAGTCCCACATCTATGACCGAATGCTTGACACAGTCACACATTTCAATGATAAAATCAATCTGAGATTCTGAAACCTAAGTCCTCTGCCCAGAAAATTAGTAACTCCTTCTGTCTATTTGTTGTTGTTGCTGTTAGTGGTTTCTTACTCCCACTGCTCTTCAGGTTTAAACCTTCAGAACTACCTTTTGAAACACTCTTTTATCCCTGGTATCCATAAAACGATTAGTCCCCAAATCAATTAACCCTTTCTCAACTCTATTAGTTTGTCCCTTCCTGTCCGTTCTGACAGCCACCAACTTAGTTCAACTCATGCAGCTTTTCTTATTTAATTTTCTGACTCTCATCTCTTACTCTTTGAGTCCTTTTTATATTCCATCAACAGAGTGATGCTGCTGTTATCATAAGGCTACTCATCTCATCATGTACAACCATCTGATCTCAATATATATTTCCAACTGTATTTTATTCTCCACGCAATGAACCCAACACTTCAATCAAAATCACCTACTTAACTCATGCCTCAATCTGCCTGGGCCTTCTCATTCTGGAATGCCTAACCTAGATTACCCTCTCTCCCAAATAAATTCTAACAAACCCTGCCAGAAACAGTTCCAGTTTTCTCTTCAGTATTCCCTTCCCAGGCTACTCTAGGCCAGCGGTCCCCTTTTCTGAACTCCTAAAGTACAGTAAGTTCCCGACTTATGAACATTCCCATTGCAAACTTTCACAGAAAGGAACAGACCTCGCATTACGAACATTCATAGATGCGAACAAATCTCGGGAGTAGCTCACGTGTCTGTCGGACATTGTCACAGTTGTGCTGCTGTGTGCTTACTGTACAGTGCGATAGTATACAGTAGTACAGTGCTCAATCGGAGCCCAGGATGTCCGGAAGCAAGAGAAAAGCAGTGGTGATGTGGAGGGGACTGCCAGGAAGCGCGAAGCAATAACCATGGAAACAAGAGTGAAAATAATTGAGAGATTGGACCGAGGAGAAAAGATGGTAGACGTCACTCGTTCTTATAACATGAGTCGTTCAACCATTGGCTTTACATTGTATACTTGTGTCAAAGGTTTAAGACTCACTTTGTCGGACTTACGGACAAATCCAACTTACAAACAAACGTTCTCCTGGAACGGAACTCGTTCGTAAGTCGGGAACTTACTGTACCTGGTTGTACACATCATTCAGTAAGTACTCATCAAAAACTTCCTGATACTATTAGTTATTATTTAATAAAAAGATACCTGACCACCCTAACTTAAACACTACATCCTTAAGGCATTGTATTGCTTTACTCCCACAGAGCCATGCAACATACCACAAAAAAAAAAAGATAGTGACTCACTGAATTTTAAAAAGTATATAAGAAGCCTTGATGTATGTCATTTTATGCAAATGAGATAGTCTCCAAAATAGAAAGAGCCCTATAAATGAGTCCCCAATACAAAAACCTATAACAGAAGTAAAATAAAAAAGGAATAGGTATGATTTTAATCATAGGCTTTGTGGTATTTCTCTCCTTGATGTGTCTGCTGCTTTTTCATAATACCACTCACCACCAACCGGAAAACACTGCTTTAAAACAGGTAACGTTTTATCTTGACACCCAAATTGGCAAAAGTGCATTTTTACATATCTTAAAGAAAAAATAAGCTCCTATTTCTAAGGTACTTGAAATTTGATTGAATTAGGCTAAATCTACTACAAAGTCTTGACACAAACATCAGACATCTGGTATTAAAATATAACCACATACTTTCTCCATGATTCTACATCATTGTAGATGATGTATTGCATCTTCCAGATTATACATGAATATTCTAAGCACTCATCTATGATTGCCTGGGGAAAATCACTCAAGGCTGGAATTCTGGGGCAAAGGGCATTCCAGATAATATCAAGTACATCCTGCCCACAGAAAATCTGCAGAAGATAATCCTCCGTTCTCGCTGGCTCTAAATTCCTTCGTATCTCAGACACTCATTTATTTTCTCTCTTTAAGTCCCAGAAATAGCTATGTCTTATTCATCAGGGTTCAAAAAAATCAAAGTCAGAGTTTCTGGGTGTTTTTAAGTTTAAGTTAAAAGGCATTAATTTGTCAAAACAAAGACATGAAATATGAAAATATGGTTAGAGAGCACCTAAAACTGTATATATCAGTGAGATCTTGATTCACTATATTTTTTATTAGATTCCAGTGTACAAAACAATATAATAGTTAGACATTTACACCCCTCACAAAGTGATAACCCACCTCCCCAATCTACTACCCCTCTGACATTGTATATAGCTGTTATAGTTCCACTGACTCTATTTCCTATGCTATACTCCACATCCCATGACTATATATATATATATGTATTAAACTATAGTTGACATTCATCATTATTCAGCTTCAGCTTCAGGTGTACAGTGCAGTGGTCAGGCATCTACACCATC